CTCTGGCTCTTCGCAGGCCTTCCCGCTTTCAGTTCTGGCTCGCATCTGACCTCTGATACGTACCGTACCGTACCGCCTGCGTTCAGTTTGGGTCGTCCTGCTTCATAACAGTGTGACGACAACATCCACGGCTTTCCAGCATCCTAAAGCAGCCGATTTCCGCTGTAACAGAGCTGTTCGCAGGGGGTCACCGAGCAGGCTGCCCCTGACACCCCCCACCCCTCCTCAGCTGCACGCTGCTGACCGCGCTGTCCATCCAGGTGCAGGCAGAGGGCCCGCTTTCCTCCGGACAGCCAGCCACCCCGTCCTCTTGAAGGCTTCGGACAAGCAGTAGCCTGCCTGCCAGACTGCCGGGGGTCCCTGCCCGGCACCAGCCCCCCCAGATGTCTCTGAAGAAGCGACGAGATCTACTTTTTGACAGCAGCAAGTTCTCCCCGAGGGGAGGTGCCCCGCTCCTGGAGGCACTGCAATACCAGGCTGGTGCGTGGAGTGGATGGAGCAAGCTCCGAGTCCATCTCCCAGTTCCAAAAATCCATTTAATATAAAGTCCTCACATCGAGGACATATCAGATATTAAACTGATAAGAACAGATTTTTTTTTAATTAAGAAAATACCAAAGTTATATAAACTTTTCAGCACAAACAACAAAGCTCTAAGTTTTCCACTGCAGTACACAGCATACATATACACATTGTTTCCCCATAAACAACCACACGAAACCACTTCAGTATACTCTCCCACCTTTAGCCCCACAACCTCTTTTAACATTTCAGTTTCTCCGTTTTGCACTCTTAAGCACCAATTCCTACGCTTTGCGGCCTGCTTCGAAATTCAGGCCCTCCAACTCCCCCCGCTCCATAGCTGCCTTGTGGGCCTCCCAGAAGGCCGCATACGCTTTGGGGCTCCGAAAGGACACATGCCACTCCTTGTAATTATCGAAGGCCACCACACAAACCAAGTCCACTGGGTCCACCTTCAGCGTGCCCAGAAGCACCCGTGTCATAAAGTCCATGCGACTTAAGGTCTTTGCCCCTCGGAACCCTTCTCTCGACAGAGTCACTTTCACTCTCCACCCGACGTCACTCCTCCGCTCTGCCTCTTCCAGCTCCGGCGGTTTCACCGTCCCCGCTGCCTCCTTCTCCGGCCCACGATCCTTCTGCCGCCCATTCTCTGTCGCCGCCGCCGGTCCGCCCTCTTCGGGGGTCTTCCTTCTGCCCCCCGCTCCCGGCTGGACCTTCCCACGCTGTCCCACAACGCTCCACCCCTCCGTCGTTGTCAGCTCACCTCCATCTGCACTCTTCTCGCCTGCTCCCGTCTCCCGCTTTCTCTCCTCACTTCCACTTGGTTCTCCTCGTATCCGCTCCATCCACTGCTCGCTCATCGCCAGTTTTGCTATTTTCCTCTCCACTTCAGTCTCCATATTCGCCTCCATATTTCTTTCAATTTCCCAGCCCTGCAAGACCCAGCCAGGCAGCAGTCAGACCAGGGCCCACCCACCAACCCAATCAGAGCCTTCCAGAGACCTACACTTGATTTTAGCCAAAAGATCGAGAAGCGATACACTGATCCCCTTGGAAACCTCAGGGCCCCCACGGGCAGCCTCCCCAAAGCTACCACAAGCTGCCACGGAGGCCCCTCCGCTCACAGTCGTCACCTGCAGCTTCTGGCGCCACAAACCCACACGGAAAAGTCCTTCCGCAATATCTCGTGCCCAACAGGTCCGAAGCACCCCCCCCGCCCCCCCACGTAGCTCACCGTCCACAAAAGCCCCCCCCGTCCATCCCCTGCCAACACTGCCCTGCCTCTCGCCTCCTCCTCGCTGGCCATGAGAGGAGAGATGATTTGCTCAAAGCCCGAGCGAGCGCGATGACGACAGCGTCTCGCTTTAACCCTCTCCTGT